GGAACAATTCTTGGTTCATGGAAAGCAATAATGAATTATTTATCAATAGTAGAACAAGTGACAAGTCAAAGATATCAACAATGTAATGATCAAGGTATTCATAATCATATTGTTTATAGAGATAAAATCAATAATACGAAAATTCATATTATTTCACATGAACATGGTTTTGTTGGAACATTAGGATATTCAGCAACGTTTAAAAGAAATCAATTTGGACTTATTCTTAATGAAAATGAACAAGTTTATGCTGTTATTCATCAATTTGATCGAAATAAACAAATAACTGAGCAATTGGAAATTCAATATCAACTATGGACTGATTATAAACAAGATTAACTTACACATCATTTCTATCTTATGATTATCGATGACTACTAAACATATATTATACTAAACATTTCTTAATATAATCATTAATCAATGATTTTATCTTATGTCATCATTACATGTTGCATTCTGTGTTAATATTAAAAGAAAACTTCATCAGACAATTAGAGTTAGATCGTTTGAAGAGTTTGTAAGCGTAATGTTCGAAGCGGATGAAAGAAACGTAAAGAGTGAATGAATGGAACTGACGATTTGTTGAAAATAAGTCATTGGTATAAATACCACACAAAGTAAAGACACAGAGATGATGACATAAGAATAAACAAGGAAAAAAAGTGATAAAATGTACGAAGTATGTCATCATATGTTAACAGAACAAATAACAGGTGTTGAACATATGTGAAGAATAAAGAATGAAAGACAAAGTGGATGACAGATGTTATTCTCTCACAAAAGTGATACTTTATTTTTATTTTACTTTATATTAAAGAATTAAATATTTAAAATATCCCCTCTTTATTTGTCTAAAAAGATTTATTTTCATCTATTTGGTAAAAATATTAATAATCAATATGACAATATAGAAAATACTGATCATTATCTTTGTTCTTTTAAATCATAAATGTGATCGAACATATGAAAGTATAATCATATCTTTTCGGAACAATGACAATGTTTATGTTTAAAATGTTTATTCTTGTATGTAAATGATCTAGAACTAAAGTGACTTTCATTTTCATCATTGACAAAGTCATTGGTTTGGCATTTAGAACCGTGTTCGATGAATATTTTCAGAAGAGAATTCATCGTTTTCATTACTTTTCAAATAATTTGTTTGATCGATGAGAATGATTTCGTCAATCTTTGGTTGATAACGTCCCCAACGATTCACATTTTTTGCTGGTCCCCATTGATCATCAGGTTCACTCACATAAGTTAACATTCGTAGGTAATGGGGCATTGTTCCATCACTCTTAAACAAAAAAATCAAATAAACTTGATTGATGAATTGAAAAAGTTTTACTTTATTGGTCATTTTCCATCCTTTGTAGAATTCGTAGATCATAATTAAAGGAATAAATATCAATGATGAACAAACCATTAACCATCCAAGTATATTTGCATATGCTGGATATTCATAGTTGCCAGCAGTTGGTGTTCGAAATCGAACAATCGATGAAAAGAAAACAACCTAAGTATTGAAAATTATAATACAAAATAAACGATAAATTGAAGATTACTAATGTGATAATTGGACCAGTAATACACCAAGTGACAAACCAAAATGCTTCTAATGGTCTTTTACCTAACATCATTCGAATATCTTCCATGAAGTTATTAAATCCTACAGAAAAGAAAAAGAAATATGATCGTGAAAAAAAGTATTCTTATCAAAATGACCATAAATATAACCAATGAGAATAAATTCAAAAAATCCACAAACATAAACCGATAGATTAGCTGCATATTCATTCATTAAAATCTATAATCCATTGAAATTTATCACAAAAAGCGAGGAGTGAATGTTTCTTTAATACATACGAATAAATAAATTCCACCCTAAAAAGACAAAAAGTCATCTCTTCTAATGAAAAAAAAGATCCTTTCGATTCTAGTTTTACCGGTGCGCAAATTGGCAACGCTAACAGAAAACAAAGACCACAATAACCAATTGTAACAAACATCTTATGACGACGAAGACGTTTGAATGTGTCCAATAGACCAGATATAATTACATCAGCAAAAGCGAACTAGACGAAGTCTTTCATAGAAATCGAAATTCATCAAGAAATCTTTTACTTGAGAATCAAGTCCAAGTGTTAAAAGCATAAAGAAGAAAACAACTGCCCAGAAAGGTCCACCAGGCATACTTGACAAAGCTTGAGGATAAGCAATAAAAGCTAAACCAGGTCCTGCTTTAGCTACTTGTTCAATCGGTAAACCTGTTTTAAATGACATGTAACCGATCACAGAAAAGATGGCAAAACCAGCAAAAACCTATTCATCATTATCGAACTACTATTTAAGCTAATAGAAAGTACTTACCGAAGTGAAACAATCACATGCAGTTACAAAAATACAATCTCTGAAATCGATTTATGAGTAAGAGAAGTTGTTGAATCAGATTAAGTTACCTGAGATAGTTTGCATGAAATTTATTGAAACTTGCGTAGCCAAGAAGTGGACCAAATGCAACAGATAGAGAAAATGTTACCTAGAGATCGTTAGAATTGAATACAGTTGATCGTGTATCGCGATACACACCTGAGATGCAGCAGCAATCCAAACCTAACAAAAAAAAGGATTTTTGTCACATTACAATGTTCAATTGAACTAGTTGCATTCTCTCACATCAAATTCTTGAATTTTCTTCCAATTGGGTTTCAGATAGAACATTAGACCTGCTCGAGCGCCTAAACACATCTTTTGATATCGATTATTCTCTACAAATCAACTCAATGGTTAACCTGGTAATGTAACACCACGAATGATCAATGCAAAAATGACAACATATGGAAATAATGCTGTAAAATAAACAACCTACAATAGTAATTAGATTATTATATGAAAGAGATAAATAATCTTACCTTGCCAGATGATTTAATTCCTTGAATAATACAAAGACCAACGAGAATCCAAGCTAATAATAAACATAGAGTCAAAGACCAGCTTGGTACACCTAAATGGTCAAGTGAATCACTCCGCCGTAACACATAATTACTAAACAGAAATTCGAGTAAATAATATTCAAGAATATTCCATATTATCACACTCGAAATATTCCTCAGGTGGAAGAATTGGAATTGTACAATTAGTCTGACGATAAAGATTGCAGAAAGATGTTGAATTCAATAGATTTTCTGTTTCTATATGTAAATAAACAGTAGATAAAAGCTGTAAAAGAAAAAGTATGTTTTCACCTGGATTAACACATCGTTCTGTATTCCACCAATTTCCACAATCACTCCATTGCAATTTACGTCGAAATGAAGCGAAAAAATAGAAGAGACACCAAGCAATAATAACATTATAATAGATCGATACGAGAAACGAATTTATTGCCGTTGCCCAACCGAGTCCTAAAAGAACTTCAGCAGATCTTCGAGAAAAAAAACCTCTTATATTCACCTTTGAACATTCGAGACATTTTAAAAGCAGCCGCTGATCCACTACTTGTAAATTGACCAAGCGACATTTCAAGAAAGAAAAGCGGTGTACCAATAAGAAAATAAATACAAAAATATGGAATAATAAAAGCACCTTATTCCATGAATATTCATCAAAAGAAATGTTTCGAAAGAACAAATTTTACCTCCACCGTTTTTGAACGCTAAAGAAAAAACAAACAAAACAAGACTTTTCTCTTCTGTAAATAATAACATACCAATATATGGATATCTCCAAACATTACCAAGACCTTTTTAATATCAAAAAATAAAAAATACAAAGTCTTCTCTTCTCTTCGAAACCTTACCGATAGAACAACCAATTAGTGAAAGGAAAAATTCAATAGGTCGATCCCATTCTTCACGTTCTTCTTCCTTATTTTCCAGTATGTTCTCCTAGAATATTTCCTTCTCATACGATTGAGAATCTTTCAATTCGATTTACTTCAACCGCTTGTAAAGATTTCGTATTCGATGAAAAGCGACTTTTCAGACTATTAAACATCATTCAATTAATCAATGTATTTTGTTTTTCTTTCAATCTCATCGATACTAACCTTTTCTTTTAATAACAGAATTGATAAGGAAGATCAATCTCCGTTCCATGTTGTTTTTTTATACAAACAAATACCAAATATTCATATGCTTTTTTTTATCAGTGACCGTCAGACTTTTCGTCATCTAATCTCAACTTCAGTTTATTTCGACTAATCAAAATAATCAGCCACACATTCTGTAATGTTTCAATGATCAAATATGTATTTATATCACTTGTTATCAATTATGAACAACAGAAGTCAAGGAGATTTCTTTCGTGCAGTTTTTTAAAACCTTCAGAATTTTGCAAAGTCATCTTATACATCGAACGAATATAAGTCAAGTGCCAAAAATATTCGAAACAAACATGCACATGTCAATCCGTCCCTTCTCTCTCTTTTCTCTACGCGTATATCTTCTATCATCATCAACTGCACTGATAGTGAGATTACAGGTAAGGCACTTAACTTGGAGAAGAATAAATTGAGTACAAATGTATGACATAACTAGATCAGACGAAAAATAGTTTATACCATTTTATCCCTTTGATCTTTGAGGTTTCAAATCATACACAAATATGAATCGTTAGTAGATGTATGTCGTATAATCTGTTTCATTTTTAATATGACTATTAGCATACATTCCACGATTAATAGTATCTACTTCGTTTGATATATATTTGTTTATCTCGACGGCAGAAAGTATCATTCTATTTTTAACTGTTGTATGTGATAAGTTAGTCATCAGTTCGTTTGTGATTTATCGTAGACTATTTAAGGTGTAGTTATATAACAAATTTGTTGACTCAAATCTAATTTTTCGACGCATTTCTTGTGGATATCAACTGAATTTTGGATACATTTATTTTAGTTAACTATATTCCACTGTGTTTATACATTCTCAAGGTAGCGTGTTATTGAAAAGAAGAGTTTTTTTTACATTTTTTAAATTTTATTGTAGAGAGACATGGGTTCATTATTGTCAAAATTTCACAGTTACGTTCATCAAGATGTTTTCTTAGTTCCTTCGCATAATAATGTTTTGCTTATTATTATTTTATTTCTTGGAGTGATCACTTCATTGTTATATTTGAAATTTAATTGGAAGAAATTTATCTACATTCATATCTATAAACGTCTAATGGGTCCGAAGTGGCTAGCTTCTAATAAAGGTCCATTTGCATCGTACTATCGAAATATTCTATGCAATATGTACGAGATCAATAACAAACAATTAGCAACAATTCTTCAGAATAATTATTCATCTACTTTCTCACGAGATCATTCGATTTCATATATTCGTTCTCATTGTCCACATTCTCCTTTGCCTGCCGATGAAGGTTATACAACAATTGATGAGTTTCGTTCAAAAGTTCCGTTGACAACGTATGATGATTATCGCAACTATATTGATCGAATGGTTGAGGAAGGAGAAAAAAACTTATTGTCTACTGATAAAATCGTTTATTTTAATACTAGTTCGGGAACTACAGGAAAGATTAAACTGATTCCAATGACAATGACAATGTTAAAAGAAACAACGAACGCGTTTAATATTGGACTCTCTTGCATGTGGAGATCATTACCATCCTCATCCTTTCCCTATGCTAAACAACGATATTTTCAGTTATCGAGTGGAAGGAACGAATCAATGTATGACAAAACGAAAAGTGGCATTCCTCTCGGCCCTTTCAGTCAATGTTTTTCTGCAATTTCAACATTTTCCAAATATAAACCAATAACAGCTGCTGCCAATGTCATAGGACTCGATCTTGTCGAAGCAATTACAGACTTCGAGACGAATATATTTGTTCAACTTGTTTTCGCCATGACCATTTCCGATATATATTCTTATTCAGTAACGTTTCCTCCAGCATTTATTCATACCATAAAAATGATCGAAGATTATTATGAAGAAATCAATCGATGTATCACTTCGATTGACTTCAACGATAGTTCCCTTGTTCGAAATCATATACACGATGTCAAACTTGTAACTGATTTAAATCAAGCATTGAATGAAATTATCATTGAATATGGAGGACGAAAGTATCAAACAAAAAGAACATATCATATTCAACAAGAATGTTGTAGAAAAGATGTTCCTGGTCTTCTTCATCGTTTATGGCCATCTCTGTTATTTGCATCTACTGCGATCGGCAGTAACTATTCCATGTATAAAGAACAAATACAATTTTATTGTGGAAATAAACTTCTTTTAAGCAACTTTACTTGTTACCTTGCAAGCGAAGGATGTTTTGGATTCACTGCAAGTAATCATACGGACGAATATTTTCTCTTACCAACCTATGCATTCTTTGAATTCATCAAAGAAGAAGATATACCTAAAGTATGCCATCCATAACTCCTTCATAATTTCTTTAATATTGTTTATTTTAATGTGTTGTTTTGTTGAGGAACAACCGAAGACTCTTCTTATGTCGGAAATTGAGCCTGGAAATCGATATGAAATGGTTTGTACAACTCCTGCAGGACTTATTCGATATCGAATGGGTGATGTGATTACTTGTACACGATTTCTTACTCACAGTAATGATCTAGTCGCATTACCAGCTGAACCAAAGGAAATACCTCGAATTCCTCTTATTTCAATCGCATGTCGTATTGGATGTTTAGACATATATGGAGAGAAAACTAGTGAACGACATGTACTGAATGCTATAATGAAAGTAATTCAACAATGGAAAGAACAAGGATTTCATGTTGGTCTTCATGATTTTACTTCATATACAAAGATTGAAGGTCTTTCGGTCTGTTATGTCGTATTTATCGAACTGATAGACGAAAAATGTCATGATAAAAATTGTACAGTCGTTGATAATCAATTTAAAATGCTCCAAGATATTGTTAGTAACGAAGTTGATCGGCAGCTTTGTATAGAAAATCAAGTGTATGAAAGCTATCGACAGATTGGGAAACTTGGTCCACTTATGTGTATTCTTGTTCAATATGGAACGTTCTCTACTTTTTTAAATAAGGAATTGATCACTGATCAAATTAGTCCTGTTCAAATCAAACCTCGTCGATTTCTGAGAAATGATAAACATATTCAATTCTTCTATGAACATCAAATTATAGATTGTACTGTTTAAATGCTGCTTTTTTTTCGTTCAATAACACAATCGATGGTATTGGAATCAGAATTCGAGTCATTTATCAATACACCAAATCGTACACTTTTGATTGTATTTGAAATATTTTTTAAATAAACCAAATCAATGAAAACATTCTTAATAGCTATACAAATTGTAAATTTATTCTTGTTCAGTACAATTCTATCATTGGAGAAACTAAAATATGTAACACTATTGTTCTATACATATATGAGAATGAAGGTAAATAATTGACCACGTTAATAAAAGTCTCGTGGTTTCTGTTGAAATATATACGATAGGACAATAATTTATATTTACTCTCATCACAGTCATTTTCTATCTCAAAGAAATATTCTATTTTAATATACAACAAAACCAATAAATACATCATAAAAAAATTAATTGAGAAGAATCTCTTTGAAAATCTAATCTTTCGTAATTGACCTTAAAAGTGCATCAAAGTTTATATATATGCCTGTTTATAGTCCAACTAATACAAATATTTTCCGCGATATACTGTATGAGTCATGTAACTATTTGTTCTCTTCCCTTTTTATTTGAGACGAATCCATCGAGTATAATATCGCATATGACGATGAAAACATCTTGACTCATTGAGAACCTATGCCAACTGGTAATTCCACGTCAGTATACAAATACAGTCTTTATTCTGACTTATTTAAGTATGAAATTTAATTTCGTATATAAATGAATCGATTGGTAGAAAAAAGAAAAACATGAATGTCGAGTAGATGTCATATTGAGAAAAAGTTTTTATGCGCATTTATCTCACAACAAGATAACATTCTATTGGAACAAATGAAGATATGTTGATTTTTCTTTGTAGATAATGGATTGTTCCTATAAAAGTTATGATTATCATCCGAAGAGATTATTGGAAATCGAAAAGACAATGGTTGACGATGGTTATGTCCGAATTCAATTTTCCGATGAATATCTGCCACATGATGATGATTTTCCAAGAAATATGGAGAAATTCTTCATAAATATCATTGAAAAACTTAGTGGAAAATGTTTAACTCACAATGCAGAACAAAATTCATTTGTTTGGCATGTTCAACCAATGGAAACGGATTCCATTGATGAAAAGAGACATCTTGCTCGATCTCAAACTGACGATGAATTCTCATTTCATACAGATTGTTCATATGAAATGAATCCACCGGAATACATGGCACTATTTGTTCTCGAACAGGATCAACTTGGAGGAGGAAAATTAGAAATTATTCAATTGTCCGATATACTCAAATCTTTGTCAATGAAAACTCAAGAGAAATTATTGAATGAAAACTTTCAGATAAATATTCCGTTAGAATTTCGTAAATCAATCGATATTGATCATATCAGTGCACCGATTTTATTGGCTGAAGACAAAATTCGATATCGATATGATATTTTATCTGAGAAGAATGGTGAAGAATTAAATGAATTGAATTTAATTATTCAACAAATGAAACGATTTCAACCAGAATTGACGAAATTTACAATGATTATTTTGAATAATCAAAAGTTTCTTCATGGAAGAACGAAAATTCTCGATCATCGACGTCATTTACTTCGCATACGATTCAATCGAACATGTCCATATGATGTTCATTCCGTTTATGACAAAGACAAACTATTGCCTGAATATTTATCATTCTCAAACGATTTTTATGATTATTTACAATCTCAACATGAAATTTTATATAAAATTTTGCTCTCAGTTGTTAAACATTATGATCAACCGACAAATTTAGGTGAAAAAATTCGACAAACATTTCAATTTGACTTGAAAGTCGATCAAATCATCAAACAATTGAATAACTATCGACCAAATTATCAAATTGGTTCTTATCGACCTGATTTGATGTTTAGTCAAGGAAATTTATTTGAAATCAATAGCAAATATTCCTTTCAACCAAAAATATGCGAAATTAATGCAAGATTTCCATTCAATGGATATTTTCTCTCAGCTGCTCTATGTTCAACTGATCGACAAAATCGATATTCGCAGAAATCTTCGAAAATGATTGAAACTATAATCGAATCAGCAAAATTTGATTTGACAAAGCGAATGTTTATTGTGAAATTACAAGAACATGGTTATGATATTCATCTATTTCAACAATATTGGACGAATAAATCATCTCAACCATGTTTAGTTGTCGATCCGAATGATTTAAAAATTAAAAATGAGAAATTAATTGATCAAAAATCAAATATTTTCATAGAACAATGTATTCTTGAATTACATCAAAATGAAATATTAAATTTATCGGATGAAATTCTCCAATATTTCATTGAGAACAAACAAATCAATTATATCAATGATTTGCGAACAATTTTTCTTTTACATGACAAACGTTTATTTTCACTTTTATCAAATCAATCATTTCTTTATGTTTTATTGAACACACAAGTTGAAAAGTTCGTACAATTCATTCCAAAAACATTCATCATTAACAAATTACCCAATTATCTCAAAGATTCGATTGTTAACAACAAACAACATTGGTGTATTAAACCAAATTCAGCTGGAAAAGGAGAAAATATCACTATAGGTAAGTAACCATTGTTAAGTTTATCATAAAATAAAGTTTTTTAAATAGGTACTGATGTATCAATTGATGAATGGTCGAGACAATTATTGAATTCTAATCATAATCAATGGATTATTCAAGAATATATCGATTATGTTCCATATAAATCAATGAATCTATGTGGAATGTTATTTTGTTTTAATGAACATTGTTTTAATATGGGAATTATTCGAATGGCTCAGAAGAAAATTGTAAATATCTCTCGTGGAGGTCATTATATTCGTCCATATGTTCATCAACAATCAATTCATTCGATGGAAAACGGAAATATTTTAACAAAAGAAATTTTACATGAACAATTAAACAAAATGAAACTCTTTGATAATCAATGGAATCGATCAGTTTATATTTCATCATCTGGTGGAAGTGGAGGAAAACAATTATATTTTTCAAGTGATATTCAACAAAATCTTCTTCAACGACAAATTCTTGTCAAGATGATGCTTGATGAAGAGATCATTTCTGATCGAGATATTTGTTTAAATATTTTTCAAACAGGTCATGTTTATCGATCGTTGGAAATTTTCAATGATTTTTGTACAATGGCTAATTGTACATCGATTCCAATGGGTGGAAATACAAGTGATGAAGATATTTTAAAGATAATTGAATATTTTAAACCAAATATAATTATGGGTACACCACATCGTCTAATGCAATTGGCATTTTATTTTGAAAAACAAGAAAAGAAAGAAATTTATTTTGAAAAAATTTATTTTGCTTGTGAAGCAATCGATAAAGTAAAACAAGATTATTTCAAACGAATATTTCATTGTTCGACACTTCTTGGTTTCTATGGTTCAGCTGAAACAGGTGTTTATGCATGTCAATCACCAAAATATTCTTCAACAAAGATTTATCTTTATCCAAAAGAATTAGTTCAAATTGAAATTTTCAATTCGAAAATTATTGTCACAAATCTTATTCGTAAACGTAATCAATTGTTTCGCTTTGATTCCGGTGATCTTGGACGAATTCTTCCAACAGATATTAATAGTAAATATGGTTTAATTGAAGTGTTTCGTAGTCAAAGATTGATTATGATTGGTGAAGATGCACTTTCTAAATCAGATATTGAAGAAACAATGAAACAAATTGATTTGATTGAATGGCAATTAATTATTGATTATGTTTCATCGTCGAAAACCGATCAAATCCTTCTTTTATTTCGATATGTTAAATCTGAAACAACTTCGAATGAAAATTCCGAAATGATTTTAAAGAATTATTTGCAAAATTTTTTTGATAAAAAATTAACAAGTCTTTCGGAAAATTTGATTCTACAATTTGAATTAATTCAATTCAATCAATTAATACGAAATAAAACATCAAATAAATTATTGAAAATTATTGATAAACGTTTCTAAATGATTTCTTTAATAAAGTATTCACTTTTGTTTTGTTTTATTGTGAATAGAATTCGAATATGAAGTTTTATTCTTAACAATTTTCATTGTCAGATAAACGTAGTAGTGTCAAAATCGAAAGTTGAATTCGGTTTTTCAATTATCCTAATGGTAGCGTCAAGGATGAGTTCACCTTGAGTGAAAATTCTTGCACTATCGCTAAATTATCCAGATATACAAGAAATCAGATGTTCTTCTCAACTATAAAACTGCATCATGATTTTATCAAAAGAATCATGGAATTGTTTCATTTATCGTTTAAAAACATGTAAACTATATAATCTTGCTTATTGGAAAAGTATATTTTGTGAAGAACTGATCTATTTCAAAATGTATTTGATGAATTTCACTAAAAATTCTTCAAACGAGAAAAGGTCATATTATAGATGATCATCTTGAGTATATTTAACACTCGTACCTGCTAAACGATTGAAATATTCTTATATGAATAGCATTTTATTTATTAATTAAGATCTATTGTCTATAGTAACATGTACAAATAGAGTTGAATAAGTTTTGTCGTGATCTTTTGCCCGTAAATGAATATGACGATAACCTGAAAAAAAAACACAGAAGATCGAAAAATTAATTTTAAATATTACGAAAAATGAACTACCAGGTTGAATAGTGAGTACCGGAAGGCAAAAATAAGCAAGATGATCATCGTGACTATAGATATCATAATCACAAACATCAAAACGAAGTAAACACATTTGAGGAAATTGAATATCAAATTGAAATGTTTCATTCCAATTTGGATTAAAACCATTATTTTCAATAAAGTTTGTTTTTTGTGTTTGTTGATCACATGGAATTCCATGAGTTGAAATAATAACATAAGGATCAGGAATATCATCCGAATCTTCACTTGTTCGATCAAAAAATTGTCCACTGATGATCGTAATTGTTAAACGTACAGGACAATCGAATATATCTTTAGAATTCAATGATTTAATTGAATAATTCAATGGATTAAATTTTGATTTTTCAATCTGAAGAAGATAATTTGGTTTAAGTACATAACCACATGAACCATTATCGAGAAATTTCCCATAACAAAGTTGCATACTACGATCATCACTTTGATAATTGAGTGCAACCATTTGTAAACCGAAATTCCATACAGTGATTGGATTTGGATTACTTGAATCTTGTCGTAAACCATTCGGATACATTCGAAGTAAATATGTATGAGTTTGTTTGATTAAACCCATTGGATCCGATTGACAAATTTGTTCACATTGATTTTCAGAAAGAGATGATGATTGACAACAATTATCTTTAAGAAATTTCACAACATTGAAAAACTCGATCAAATCTATTTGACTTACAATGATCTTTGCTATAATTATATTCACGATATGGAACATTTTCAAGATAAATAAACAAATCTGAAGGATCAATAGTATCAGTATTTTCAAGTGATTCACATGTTGATTGTTTTGTACTCTAGTATATATAGTGAATTTTATAATAATAAACAAAGAATACAATGACTTACACGAATAAGAACTTTATATTTGAGATCTTCAGGTGATGGTAATAACCATGAATGTTTTATATAAGGAGATTGGGTTAACAATTGATCTAAATATCAAAGACAATTTTCGAAAAGTATCAATAAATAAAACTAGTTGTACTTCCGAGAATTTCACGCAAAATTCGTGCCATTTCTTTCTGTTGTTTTATCGAACAATGATTTTCAATCGAAAGAATAACTGGATATCTATTTTAATTAAACAAACGAATAACAAAACAAATTCTACAGAATTCGAAACCTACGGCGATGTTTTAAACAAATTCGGTTGAATTAATCGAATAATCGATTCAAATGAACACGATCGTACAAATGTATGTCCATGTGTTACAATTGGTTGACCATCATCTCCATCATAACAATCGATTTCCAAAACTCGACAACCGGCACGTAATGCTCGATTATATGCTTCGGGATTGCTGTCACCATAAATTTGATTGTTAAATAAATAACTAAACGAAAAACAAAAGAAATCTTTTCACTTTTGAACGAAAGAAATCTACGTGTTATGTGACGCATTGATGTAATAATCACTTAATGGTCTAGAAGTAATCATATTCATCAAGTTCAATAGAAGTAAATATGATTTATTCTGAAAATATTACCGAGTCATATCTTGATACGGATGACAGGAACACCAAGGTTTCATAATGGAAAATTCGTCGGATAACAATAAATTACGAAATCCTATAATGAAAATTGTTTGACTTTTGAACAATAAATTTTCATTGAAAACTCCAACCGTCAAGACTAAGAAGTTTTTGTTCTTTTAATTCGACTTCCAATTCGTATTCTTCGATTAATTTCAATGCTTGTTCGCGTGTTGCTATTGATTCAATCGTAAAATTATCTTTCGATGAATAGACCATTATCTTTTGCTACAAAGAAATACAAAATGTATAATCTATTCGTAGAGACATCAATTGACTTTTTGAACGGTTTGAAGAAAATGCAGAAGTTCATTAACATTCATAAAGATCGTATCGATGGATTGTTCATCACCATTTTCTACAAATCTATACAATTCATTAGAAATCAAATGAAATTGATCCGTTCGATTTACTTTTGCATAAGTTCGAAAAGATCGTCTCGTTGAGTTAAATTTTGAAAAAAATCAAAAAATTCATCCGGAGTTAAATGGCCATCAGCATTTTTATTTGCAGCCTAAGAAATATAAAATTCGTTCGTATTAAATTCGATTTTACTTCTACATTAAAAAGATTTTCGAAAACATCTTCAGCTAATTGAACATTTAATGAATTGACTAATAATTGTTGACATTCAGTTCTATCCATCGTACTCGATTTATCTTTATCAGCAAATCGCAGTTGACTAAGAATCCAACTATTCATCAATTGAAAATCATTTACTGATTAAATCAATGTGTGTTTTGTTTACTTAGTATCGCGAATAGTATGGTGTTGCTGTTGGTTTTGTGCACATCGAACAATTAAATATTGTAGTCCTGATATCCAAACATTTCGTGTTTCAGCATCATTTGCCATTAGATGAAGTTCATCACGATAGTTATTATAGAATATCGAAAAAGCAAGATTTTCCTAAATAAAACAATTTGTTTGTTTTTTTGTCACAGAAATACTAATAAAGAAAGAGAGTGTAGGAAATAGCAGTGTGTAAATCATAATGGAGTAGTCTTGGACAATGAATTCTTCATAAGATGGAATATTTTAAGTCTGTGATGTTAGTGTGACATCAATAGAAAACTATTAATAACTTACTTTATGCGAATCAACGATTTGTTGTTTAACAAGTCCATCGAATATTAATGTATGAAAGCCAATTCGAACTTCATCAATATCTTTGATATAATCTATAGTTTTCGGATATAAGCAAAATAGTCATCCTTTTTTTCGTGTTTTAATTGTACTTACAACGATGTGCTTGAGAAAAAAACTTCTCGGATTGATGATACGAAAGAAATTCTTCGTTTTCCTCAAGATAAAAATGTCGTAAATATTGTTCACCATTTCGTTTTTGTTTCGTTAAGAATGATCCAGTTTTCAATTCGGTTATTATTCGATTAATATGTTCAGTTTGATTTGAATTCATCTGTTCTATTGTGATGGTTACCTGGTTAAATAATGTTGAGTGAATAAGAAAAGAAACGAGAATAAAACACCCATAGACATATGGCAACGGCACGGAATGTTAGTGATTGACATGTTTTTACAATTCTTTTAACATTCATGTTTATTTAAGTGAAAAAAGTCTCGTTAAACAAAGGAAACTTTCCGTTCTTTCAATGACAAAGCAACAGAATTTTCTTACGACTAATATTACGAATAGAAGATATTGTATAATATCAATTATGATGATTCTATTCATTACATTGACGAATTTTTCTTATCGCGTGCACATTTTCGTGTCCAATAAAGACTAATTGCTGTGATGTGAAGTTAGATTATGCCGATAAAACACATGATTTACTCAAAGGTATTAAATAAGTTGCAAGTTGTCTTCGATAACTGAAATAAATCAGAGAGGAAAACCATATTGATAAATATTTCTGTTCGAGATCAATTTGACCCTTCCGATTGATCAGAGGTCATTGAAATATTTACCTGATACAGACGATAGTATAGTTTTTTTTCTCGATATCGAAGATATTTTCTAAAGATAAATATTGCTTAATGAATAACTTTCGTTTTTTTCCTCCTCTCATACGATCAGTGATATAACAATCATAAATAAAAGTATGTCCTTGTCTCTGCAAAGACAACCGATCATTATCTTTTTGATTAGACAAATAAAATTCTTTGAAATCGAGTCATTTCGTTTGGGATAAGATTAATATTGCTTCGTATGTTGAAAGACGATTTTATTTAACTTATCGAACTTATTGTTTATAATTAGAATGAGAGATGAAAATATCTATTCAGCGTGGGTGTTTTTTCTCTATTTGATCGAATTGATTTATTTTGATGCTTTGTTAATTGATATTCATTAGAAATCAATAATTATCGTTTGAAAGATGTGATTCTTTTCATTTCGATGTTTCACCTTCGAATGATAATTGCATGCCAAACGCACGTGTGTACCTTTTGTATACTCGATAATAGATGACAAATTTTTATTGCTCGATATTGATCTAACATACATCTTCGTTAGGTGACTTTTCAAGGAATCCAATTAATCGAGACAATTTGTTCCTTTTCTTCGCTTTTATAGATAGGGATGTGCATCACATATTGTTCTTGTTCTTCATTTGAACTTGATAGAAATGTATGAAAACCTTCAGTTATTACTAGGAGAAGAAGTTTCTTTTCTTTTCGTTTTTGTTTCAATCATCCACTCACGTGTTTGATCACCCAAAGACGAAGAATCGCTAATTGTAGAGGCGGATGACGCAAATAGAAGTAAAGAAGGTAATTTCGATGGCTGCGTAAAAGGTAATATGCCTGCTTTGATCGATTCTCTACCCAAAAAACATGCATATACTTACGGTGTGTATATACGGTAATCAATGTGACTAGAGCAATTACTGCGCACATCAACGAAATGACACTTTTCTAGAAAACTTATCTCAGGCTTCACTGATTCTTTCTGTTCTTTAGTTCACACATGATTTGTCATCTTTCTTTCTCTTTTTCTTTTCTTTTTTTTTATTTATTTGATGACCTTCTTTTATCACTGCAGACAGATAACCATGAGTTTCGTTGAATAACACATTTCGTCCCTTTTCTTTTCCATTTTCATCACAATTGTCCTTTACATTCTCTTTCAGATCAATATGGGATAATATTTAACTAAATCAATTGGATTTTCTGATAATATGTTTTTAAATTCAACGGGTGTACCTGCACCTACACCATTCGCTCCGACTCCTGTTCAATTTTCCGATATCAATGCCACCGCTCAACAACAACAGCAGCAACAGCAACAGCAACTTCATTACAATTTATTAAACTTTAATGCTGCTGCCGCTGCTGGATTAATCTCACCAACGTCAACAATCAGTACAAATAACAATTTAACTTCCAATCCAAATCAACAATCTGCACAATCACCATCTCAAATCAATGAATCTTTATCAACATCCCAACAGCAACAACAGCAACAGCAGCAGCAGCAGCAGCAGCAACAACAACAACAACAACAACAACAGCAACAGCAACAATCACCATCTCAACCGAATACCTTTACATATTCAACATTGAAACATCCGCAAGTTCAACAGATTCTTCTTGAAAATCTTTACAATACCGTTGTTCTACGTGAAAAAAATCCCAATCAGTCGTATGATCCACGCAAGAATCGTAAACGTCTTTCCGATCCTGTTTTTATGAGTCCACCACCCTCGATGGCGCCATTACTGATCAATACTCAACAAGGCAATTCACATTCACTTTTACAGCAACAACAACTTGTTCCAATTAATCCAACGCTTCCCAATGAATCAAGTAATTTAACATTAACACGTCGACGATCGTTACGTTTTATTAAACCACCATTTATTCTTCAAACAATTCATCAACAATCTTCGCAGCCAGTTCAACGCGAATCGCAAAAGATCTTAGTCGTTCGTCATGCTGAACGTGTCGATTCGACATTCGGCGCCGGATGGCTCGATCAAGTTTTCGATAAAGCAACAGGCGGCTATCGACGAATTAACTTAAATTTACCGAAAAAAATGGTCACTAGAAGAGATTTGAAAGACTTTTTATTTGATCCACCGTTAACTGAATTAGGTTTACACGAATGTAAGATGGTTGGTGAAGAACTTGCTGCACAAGGAATCGAAATTCATCATGTTTATGCTTCACCTGCGCTACGTTGCGTTCAAACAGCTGATAAAATTCTTGAAGGTCTTAAATTGCGTGACGAAATACCTATTCGTATTGAACCATGTCTATTTGAATTTCTGAAATGGTATCCTGTTGTACCGGTGAAATGGCCATTTCTTGATCATGATGAATTAACAAGAAATGGATTTAATGTTGATAAATCATATAAAGCATTTTATCCAATGGAAAGTTTAAGAAAAGATGAAGATGAGTTGATGTATTACACGCGAAGTCATTTTATTATGACATCGATTCTGAAAAATCACGATATGGATGCTGGAAATTTACTCATTGTTGGACATGTAAGACAAAAATGAACCTTTTCTAAAAATTCTGTTTATTTATCTTTTTTTATTATTTTCTCAGGCACCGACTATTGAAGTTTGTACACGACAATTGACGGGTGGTCAACCACGTGTTAATGATTTGAAATTCCTTGTTTTACGTGTTCCTTTTCTCTCGATGCATTGCATTGCAAAACAGATCGATGGATCATGGCGACCAACAAAACCTCCGATATCTCCGATAAAACATGCAGCTGTTGAACCATTTGATTGGCGATTTTTTCGTTAAGCGAAAATCTTCATAAACATTTGTTTTTCTTTTCTCTTTTCAATCTATTTTGAACAAAGAAACAAAAATTCGTTTTCGATTGTAATTTAACGTATAAAGAAAAATATCAATGATCAATATTTTCATCTTTTTTTTTTTAAACTTAACTGTTCTAAAATGCGCGGCTACGTAATGAGAACATTATTCCGCATATTAAACACCTTTTCTCTGACGTACGTTTCAACAAATAGGTAAAATGCGTTCAGTCACGATGAGCATTACATACATAGAGCATAACGTGATTGTTCCTCTTATTTTTCTCACGATTTCATTTCCATTCGCGTTCAAAGCTGAGTGAGTTGTTTGGAATGAGAACAACGAGAAAATTATTTGATCATTGATTTTATTTCACCAATGTTGACTAAAAATATTATTGTGTGTTTTTTTTTCTAAACAATGATAGTCCAAGTTCAATTTTGTCCAAAATGATTCATCGGACTGGCGATGTCTTTAATTTTCAAGTATTTCTATTGCAGAGATTTGTAAATAGAATTTTAATGATCAGCTATTAAGAAAAACACCTTCCATATTAGAGCGAAATCTGACTGTAGTTTACTTTTACATTTTCTCTTGATGAATCAGTGAATTTCTTATTGAAAAAAAAACCGACTTCTTCTGCAAAACACTTACACGAGAAAAATCTTTCAAATCTTAATTCTAATTATCTCGCCAGGTTCATTTCTTCTACCTTAAGTATCAACTCCTATCTACTCAATTGTAGAAGATAATTAATTTTTACTCTATCATCAATCTTGAAGAAATAATTTTAGTGCTCTTAAATTCATCAAGTTCGGATGTATGACAGAACGCAAATTTTTCATCCTGTATTAATGTCAAATACACCTTTTCTTTTTATAAAGAACGTTTTTTAGCAGAGAGTTAGTGATTTAACACGAGTTCATTGAAATGAAGAGAATAAACGCATCGATCATAAAAGTTATAAATACTTCAAATATATGTAGGATTAACGTTCGTCTCCAATGAATCGATAAAAATTTCGCTTATAAAAACATTTTTTTTGTCTAAATCAACAGTATTGTTTGTGTTAAAGTTGTTTGCATACGTTTTGTCACATGTATTTTTTTGCAAGTTACCTGTAATTGGTTCTAAAACACAAGCATCTCTTCTTACCAAATGGTTAAACTAGATTTGACAAGTAGATTATTATTTGTCTAACGACATCGTATTTCGTTCTTTGACAAATGTCAATGTATTCTTACAAAGAGTGTTAACATCTGTTCAGAAAATATTTATATTCACTTTTTTGTGCTCGATTTCTTTTTGATAATGTTTGTAGCGAATAAATTGAGAAAATATTTTCTCAGAAGAAACTAAATCATCGAGTAAAAACAGGAAATTAACGATAAAAACCATTGTGAAAAATCGATTATTTACTCATTGACAATCAACTTGCAATCAAGTATGTTAATCCATTTTTTTTTCTTATGTATAAAGAATTCTTCTCGGACAAATATATCATACAGTAAACGAAGCAACTAATTAAACCTGATCAATCTACAGTTACGCTTTGTATGATCTGTCATTGTCCTGTTTTAAACAAACCGACAGAAAGGTAAATAACCGAAGTAGTTAACAGTGATTATTGTAGATGAAAGAATATGTTTAAGTGCAATGACATCTACGAAAGAGTATTTAAGTGGCTCGGTACAAACCTCGCAAACATCATTTATGAGTAGCGCACTTGCAGGTAAGGTTACATTGAGTGGGAAAAGCAACGAAGCATAGGTTGTTTTTTTCTCGTTAGTATTTCAAAAAACAACACAGGAAACTCAGGATTTACCAACAATGAGTTTGAACAAAGCAACGAAAGTTTATGTTCGATTGATGTTTTTACGAATCGGTGAAATTGATACATTGAATGAGAAATATCAAGCTCAAGCGTCGATTGAATCACGTTGGCCGATTGAATTAGATAAACTTCTTTCAAATCTCTCCACCGATGAACAAAAACGTTTGATTGATGGCAAATCAGTTTCGTTAGTCAAATACGCGGAAACTCATTGGCATCCACAGTTGTACATCGAAAACGCTCTAGGGGATTTGAAAGAGCAAATTCGATACAGTGCAAAGAAATCAAAAATTGATTCGCAAGTTTACATTTGTGAACATCGTGATATCAAAGGTCTTTTTTGGGAGAAACTCGAATTACATCATTTTCCATCGGATGTTCAAGATTTGTCTATATCAATTGCATCGTTACTCTATGATGATAAGGTTCTGTTAACTACTGATCCTTATCATTCAAGTGGGGTTAATCGAGAAGCATTTGTTGATCAGCAAGAATGGTCGTTATATGAATATGTTGATACGAAACAAAGGTATATTAAAGAATTTCTTTTTCGAGGTGGAAATGGCGAAGAAGAGGAAGAAGAAGAAGAAGAAGAAGAAAAAAAGACGGATAGTAATAATGAAGATTCAAATGCATTGACAAATAAGGAGCGAAATCGATCAGTTGTCACGGTGACCTGTCATGCAGGTAAATTTTGTCCTACTTGAAGAAAAATCGATTTTGTAATTTTCAGCTCGATGTTCGAATTATTTCTATTGGAATGGTTATTGTCTTATAATGTTAATCACAATCGTTTCTTTCTGTGTTTTTGCTATTCCACCGAAGTAAATCGACGAATTAACACTTGAATTTCTCATTTGTTCCATTTCATTCTCTAGTCTTTGTCCAAATCGTCTCCAAATCAGTTGTACTCTTCTATTAACATCGATTACATTTCGTTGGACAGTAAACCGATCTCTTGTAAGCTTCAAGCTTTTCCATTCTTATCTTTCTCCTTGACGAATAATTTCAGCCTACAATATCATATTTAACAACAATGGATAAATACGCTATCATGTGTTTATTTATCCTTGTTATTCTTTCGATTTGGCATGCTATCATCGGTGCTTTGATATTCCGTGGTACACCTGATTCTCGTCTGACTCCTCAATCGTGGTACTTTCGACTAGATCAGTATGTCTTTTATACTTCCGTGACAATTTATCTCCTGATTCATGTGATTATTGGCATTTGGCTGTTCTGTGTTCCATTGAAACTTCGTCGAGATTTTAAACGAAAAGATATGGAGTATCAGAAGACACTTTCGATAGAAATGAAGAAGAAAAGCAAAAAAAACGGTGATTATGTTCCAATTACGATTCAAAGTTAAAATATTTTTTTAAATATAGATGTTTTTTTTTATGAGTAGAAATATGTGATGAATAAAGGGTTTGACAAAAGAAAACAAATGTTGATTAAAAAATGAAGCGTTCCTTGAAAATCTATTCTTCGTCTTTATGTTCTTTAGCAGATTTCAATTGAACTTGATCGCGAAAGTTAATCTTTTCGTCTTCCTTTTGTTCTTCTTTGAGAGCAAATTTATTTGTTGCTTGTTTGAGATTTGCCATGTTGATAAAGTTTGGTTCGTCTTCCTTCGCTTTCTTCAATTTATTTAATCTACAATTGAAAAATTGCAGTGATTTCCAGCTGATCAACAAACAATGTCACTTACTTTTGTTCAGCTTTCGAGACTTTCTTCAACGATGGTTTAACAAATTTACCTTTGATATCGTTGATTTTGATGTTTAATTCGTTGATCTAAAAGATAAAAATGGACTACAAAGAGAAAACTTTGATTCTCTTACATCATAATCTTGTTTTCGGACTCGCAATTCTAAGTCATAACGACTTTCTTCCGTTGTTTTCAATTGATTATGAAGTTCTTGACAAAGTGATTTAAGTTGAGCTAAAACAAACGAAGTTTTCCAAAGATAAAAAGCAAAATCATTTGTATTCACCATCACTCATTGAACTAACATCATCGAGAGGTTTTAAACGTTGTTCAATGTAGTTCTTTCGCGCCTCCAAACGACGTTGTTGTTCACCTTTAAGATTATCCGTGGCCATTTTCATAATCAAAAGCTGAATTAAGAATCGAGACAATATTCAAAGAAATCAAACAAGAAGAAATACAAACACGAAGTTTTCGTTTTTTTTCGGGTGTTAAACCAAAACGTTTCTTTTTTTCCGCCGCATCACGAGCCTCTTGACGTTTACGTTCACGATCGGCTTTCTTGCGAGCCTTCTTCTCATCTTCCGTTAATGATCGATCCTACGAGAAAAAATAACAACAAGTTCGTCAATTTCAACCTGTAAAATCAACATTTGATTTCAATAAAACATGCCATGCCAATCTCTTATAACTTCTTTCCTGAAATAATCAACTTATGCATCGTTCATGTTGTCTGATTACATAATTATTTTTGTTGTTCGACATAGATAGTTTTCAAGAGAAAATGTAGTTTTATGCGATATCATGCGAATATATTGAGAAATATATTTTGTTCATGCAAAGAATCATCATGCAGATTAATTAATTGAATTGATTAAAGATAAATCATGCAAGAAATTCAATTTCGAATGTTTATATCGATGAATTTCTATACTTGGATGGATTTTGTTTACCTCGTCAGCCATATTTTTTATGTTCTGATTAACTGAGACTGCTGTGGTGTATTTTGTTGATTTTGCAAAGCAGAAAAGAAGAACGAGAGATCAATACGGAATAGTTGATGATGTTAGAAACAAACACTTATTTCTTGCTTTTCTTAGTAAGATCAACCTACGTAGAAGCCAGAAAAAGACAGAGATAAAGAAAAGATAGATCAACAGTAGGAGGAGGATGTGGTCGTGTTCCCAAAATATCTGTACACAGAAGATATATGCCGAATTAATGGTAAAACAGAACGCGAGAGAGAGAAAGAAAAGAAAAGTCTCCTGGTATATCCACTCGAACGACATAACAGGAAAGCTTGTTATTGTTCTTTCCCCGTCGTACACTTTTTTTGTGTAAAGCAGTACACATCTAAGAATGTACAGATCGATATGGAATACGACGATGGAAAAAGAAAAGAAATATTCCGTTCTTTTATCTTTCTGTATTCTTACAGAATGATAAATGACAACGGAGAACTTCTCCTGAAAACGCAAATATATCTTCGATTACAAAGATTCGATATTTTCATTTGATCCTCACAGCAGCGTCTTAAAAAAGATCTTTTCAATGATAACCTTGACGATCGATATGATAAATACCTCAACACTTGCGCGTTATCGCCTACGTGGTCAAAGACAAAGTCAACTGACAAAAAAAAGGGAAATTTAGAAACCTTACATCATGTGTTAAGCATAAACATGTGTTTATGAGTAGACTAAATAAACGGTCAACGATTGGATGTTGTGAACAGAGATGTTTAATCAACATAGAAAAGGAAAGATTTGTTCTATAATGGTGAAAACTAGATGAGAAAGAGTTTGGTTGCTGGGACTTGGAGAAATACTGTTTATTCCTCTTCGTGATGATGTTCTTTGGACGATTTGAGTTGAACTTGATCGCGAAAATTGACTTTATCTTCATGTTCATCTTTTAAAGCAAATTTATTCGTTGATTGTTTAAGATGAGCACGAAAATCGATTTCTTCTTCTTTTGGTTTTTGTAACTTTTGAATTCTAAATCAAGTTCGAACTCATCTTTATCAATCAATCGTTTCTTCTTACTTTTGCGTTGCTTTGGAAACTTTCTTCAATGTCGGTTTGATAAATTTTCCTTTTGCATCATTGACTTTGATTGTTAATTCATTAATCTAAATAAAATTGTGAAATTTATCTTCGAAAATCAAAGAAAAGACATTTTTTACATCATAATCTTGTTTACGAATCTTCATTTCCATGTCATATCGTTGCTCTTCGGTATCCGACAACTGTTTGTAAAGTTCTTTGACTAATGAGACAAGATGAGCTTCATTGAGCGCATTGTAATCATCCGGAGCGGGTTTAACACGTTCATCGATATACTTTTTCCGAGCAGTTGAACGCTTATCTGCCGCATCTTTGATATTCTCTGTGGCCATTTTCATAATCAACAGCTAAAACATGAAATCTTCACTGGTTTCCTCGAATACTGTGTGAAAGGAGCAAACAAACCCGTAATTTACGTTTCTTTTCAGGTGTTAACGCGAAACGTTTCTTTTTCTCCGCCGCATCTCGAGCTTCTTGACGTTTTCGTTCACGTTCCGCTTTCTTTCGTGCTTTCTTCTCTTCTTCCGTCAACGGTCGTCCCTAAAAACTTCCGTGAAATCCCATTTAACTAATGTTACCAATGTTACTTCATCATTCATTTTGATTGTTCCTTCAACAAGATCGATAAATCGTCTTATCCGAGTATCTCAACAAGTGACAATGATTGTCGATCGCATTTTTGTATATTCGCCTTTTTTTCTCCTAAAGATCACATATTGTTTTTTCTTGTATCATTAAAAATACACGAGAAAAATTGCTGATTCGTTTTCTTTGTGTTCTGGTATCTCATCTCACAGCGATAGATATCGCTTACAAAAACAATATACATTTGTTCATGTACATGAGTGTCAATCAACAGATGTTGAAAGCAACTACAAGAAGATATCCTATTGATTTATATCTCTACTACATCAATCGATGATGTCAATACAAAAGAAAAATACTTCTATCGAAGGTGTTTTTCGTGCATTGCTGTACAAAAGAAATCGATTTTCGGTGGTTGTAAATGTCTTGATGTTGATTGTTCGACTAAGTAAACCTCCGCCGGGATTGACATAGAAGATACTCTATTCTTCGATGTAGATCACATTCATTTTCAAGACAAGTTTTTTTATTATTCTTAGTTTTTCGATCAATAAGTGCTCTGAACCATATGTTTATTTCTTAAATGGCTAACACTTCATCCCCTTTGTCCACTACGATTCAAGCATCGATCTCGAAAGGCTATTTTCGATTGAACAACATGGATTACATGGCAGTTTTTCTTTGATTCTCATCTACATGTTAACTGTTTATTCTATCTGAAAATGATTTCGATAGAAATGTTATCAATTCATTGTTAATTACACGAATCTTCACTCAAATCATTAAAGACAATGTCCGACATGAATTCGGCAGATTGTTTTCTCGGCTCATTTTCTATTTGAACAGACGCAAAGGGAAAATTAATGAATATTTTATATCTTGAAAAGACAGATTGAGAATATTCACATCGATTTTGTTTCTGTAGAATTGATTGGACACGTGGGAAAAATATTGTCAAATCATGTGGAACGTGACCAGATTTGTTTCATCTATCATTTTATGACATAAACTTAATTTTGTTTGTCATTAATTGGCTTCTGTATGAAAGTGTCGTTCACTTTCTTTCGTTCTTCACTGACCGAGAGAAGAGAGAAAGTGGACGAACAGAAAAGACGACGACGGCAGCATCAGCATTTCTTTTCTTTTCTTTTCTTTCTCTTTGACAACTTCGAATATCTTCATATATCGATGCAGAAGTAGACAAGTATGTAACAGAATTCAATTCTTTTTGAATTCAACCGATGATTTCGTTTAGAATGTTGATTATTCTCTTGATCAGTTCATATTTTCTTCTAATTCATGGTTTAACAGTTGTTCTTAACGAAAAAGATTTAATTAACCCGATCGAGAAAGTCCTTGTAATCGAAAATGATCTCTTTGTTGGCGCAGGCAATGCACTTCATCATTTATCGATAAACAACTTCACAAAACTTCAATCATCATTAAACTTCCCATCAGATTATCATTTCAAAGTTTTGTCTGTAATTCACGACGGGAATTTACTTGTATGTGGAACATCAAATCAAGGTTCATGTCAAATTCTTAACAAAGAGTTCCAGTGGATTATCAATTCATCGTTGCCAATTGTCGCCAATGATCCAGTCAATAGTACAATCGCTTTGATCATTCCCGAGAAGAATCTCGTTTATTTCGGTGTCACTTACACGAACGAAGGTTTGTATCGGTGGCAGATTCCGAATCTTTCAGGCCGGTCGCTGAATTTGACGAATTTTATGAAAATTTTATCAGTTAATGATGATGATACAATCTCCCGAGATGATTTATCACTTCGTTTCATGCCCAGACAGCAAACGACATTTATTGTTCAGTATATTTATTCGTTTTATCATAAGAATTATATTTATTTTCTTACGAATCAACCGACTGATGTTGATCAGACGACAATCATAACAAAAATCGTTCGTTTTTGTCGAAATACTTCCACGTCAATTATTCGCTCATATTCTGAAATGCCTCTTGTTTGCTCCGATGCTGATTGGATCTTGAAATCAGCGCAAACCATCGTCGACAACAACGATCAATTGATTTTAATCGGACTTTTTCAAAAGCGAGATGGTTCTAGCGGAACGAATGTTTGTTCATGGAAAATCTCCAATGAAATCGATCAAGCTTTTCAAGACAATTATCGAAATTGTTATTCATTCGGAATCGGACAACGTGGATTAAGTTTTATCAAACCTAATGAACCTTGTCGAAAAGACGAAGTAAATTGTCTTTCGAAAGAACAAATTCATCATTGAATGTCTTTTTTCTTAGAGTTGGTCAATTGGAATGACTGATGATATATGTCCATCGATTATTAGTGACCGTTTACCTTATCCCGTTGGAGGAATAAATCCAATTATCGGTCGATTATTCTACGAGAATACAGCTGAAAATTCCAACGGTATGCAGCTGTATTCATTCGGTTCATCAATTCTTTTCTTACAAGGATTAACCAATGGGACTTTCAAATTGGTAAGTGTTTCATCAATCACATCCAAACACATTCCATTTTTTAATAAAGAGATGCTCAAATGGATATACATACTCATTTCTCCTTAAGGGTGTCTACAATACAATTTGTATTGTCTGAATATTAAGAGCAGGGAGAAGAGAAAAACGCCTTAGGACATTTTCGTTTCACTTTGAGTAATGGATGGACAGAGAGAGAAACAGACAATGTTATTGACAATGGGTCAAATGACGTGATTGGGGACATGACATTTGTCTTAAACAAAGAGAAGAAGGAAAAATTGACACGATGTGTATATTTTTTAGGGAATATTGGACTTTTTATTGAATATTAAGTGGATTTATTCTTATGATTTACCAACTCAATCAGCAATTTTACCTGAAATGTTATTTGATAATCGCACTGCAAGTTTCATCTTATCATCTGAATCAAAGGTAAACGAAGACAACTATTTAACTGGCGTTGAATTTAACCAATGTTTATTTAGATCTATCGTTTATCATTCTCTGCTGATTGTTCATCGCGCTTGTCATGTGACGAGTGTTTGTCATCATCAACTAATCTCTTTTGTGGCTGGTGTACATCAACTGAACGGTAAGTTAGCAATTAACACGAGGTGATCATGATTATTTTTTCGACACCCGTTGTGACATTGTTCAGCATTAAAAAAGAAACTAAACGATCACATTGAGTGTCAGCAGGAGTGTACCGATCCTAATTGCTCAATGGGTTAATTCCGCTTCGGTGTATTTTATATAATCTAAAAAAGCGGGATGAAATGAACCATCTGTTCCTTGATAGATCGATAATTTCGAAGAATATAGCTGTCTAGACTGGAAAGAAAAATTTCCGTTTTTATTATATAGATGTACGGTGTTAAATGATTGTCCGAAGAATTCTTGGCAACAAGAGACTAATCAATGTATACAAATGCTTAATGTTCAACCATTGAAAGCTTCGCTTGATCAAAGTCAATGGGTTTGTTTTGAGTGAAATGAAATTTCTGCGTTTTGATACGTCTGTTTGTTTAGATTAACATAACTCTATCAAAATTACCGCAATTGGAACATAATGAAATTTATCAATGTATTTTTTCGAATGGATTTTTCTCTGCGAATAGCCAAGCGATTAAATTAGATGCAAATCGATTATCTTGTCCTACGCCGTTGAATAATATCAAAAGAAATCAACAAATCGGTAAGTAACTTCATCGAGAGATTGATGATGTAACAGATAGTTAATTCCGTCTGGAGATTAATTGAGTCTTTTCTTTCTGATAGAGAATGAGTTTCAAGTTCGTTTTTCGGTGATTAAATGGCCATCGAACACAAGTATCGCGATGATTAATAATTTTACGTTTTATGATTGTGCGTCTTACTTGTCATGTGAAACATGTCGATCGAAATCGAACTGCCAATGGTGTTCAGATCGATGTTCGTCATTTTGTAATGAAGTTATCTCGAATCAATGTCCGACATTTAGTCTGGTGAATTCTTCTGAGAGATTTATCGAAGCAGGTCACTCGATTGATATTTCTTTGAAATTTGCAAATACAATTCAAACAAGATTAGATTGTCGTTTGAATGAAACAATTTTGGGCGTGATTAATGAACGACAGGTGTGTCGAATTCCAAAAATTCCGGAGATAATCGACGAGAAAAATGAGCAGTTGTTATTTTTATCTATTTACGAAAATAATATTCCGATTGGTACTCCAATCAAAATGTTTGCTTATCGTTGCGATCTTTACGAATCGTGTGATCAATGTCAGTCACGTTCAACGTGTTCTTGGTGTCAAGGAAAATGTTTCTCGAACAAAGAAACTCAATGTTTCCCAGATTCAGCTTGTACATCACTGAAAATCAAGGATTTCTCTCCGAAAATTCTTCCCTTAAATGGCGAAACAATCGTTACGATTGATTTAAATGAAGATTTGCATAAGAAAATCCTCGAAATTACACTTGCAGATATTCCGTGCTCAATCACGACGATTTCCAATCGAATTGAATGTCGAGCAAACCCGTCGAATTCTTCTCGACAAGGTCTAATTAAAATTCAATTCGAAAGTTCGATTACGATTTTCTCGAAAGAGTCGATCGAATATCGCCGAGCGACGATCAATTCATTTCATCCGGCGATTGTTTATGAATTCGGTGGACAAATGTTTCAAATTCTTGGAAATAATCTTCTCATCGGCAATTCGCAACAAATCTTCATTGGAAATTCTCAATGTCTGACAACGAAACAAACAAATTTAAATGCTCTAACATGTCGTTTACCTTCATTATCATCGGGATTTTACAATGTAACGGTTATTATCGATAGGAAGACTATTTTAAACAATGGAATTTATTTGAAAATTACACCGAATCCGATCGTACAAGATATCAATCCGATTAATAGTTTTGCAAGGTGAGTGCAGATAGAGATTCATTGTGGGTTTCTATAAAGATTTGTTTAGTGGAGGTCGATTGGTCACCGTTCGTGGAATGTATTTTGGTTCTGCTCAAACAATTCAAGTCGAGTTTTCCTACCGAAACTGGAACACAAGGTTGAAAGTATGTTTCGAAATTTTGTTTCTCAAAGAAAAAGTGCTGTTTTTCCTAGATCGATCCAGTAGATGTCGTCTCATCTGACGATGGATTGATTTCTTCGTTTACTCTTCGTACACCGGGAATCCCTTCGACATCCGATGAATTCAATTCACCTCCTGTTGACGTGGACTTTACTCTTTACTTTGACAATTCTATAATTTTGCCAAATCTCATTCAATTTCATTACATCGCCGATGTTTTACTAAATATTTCATTAATTCCTCCGACATTACCTTATACAGGCGAAGAACTTAAGTTACAAGTCGAAAATCTGACTGAAGCTGCATCTATGGATGATATTCAGTTGTTAATCGGTTGTACCGAGTGTAAACTTAAAACCTTTACATCAAAAGGAATAACTTGTCAACCACCACACCAGTTATTAACAAATATTCCCATACTTCTCAATAATCAACAGCAACAAGGTAGATTTAAGCGAAGCGTTCATTGGTTTTTCCTGATTTTTCTTGTGTTTTTTTTTAGTGGACTGCTCAATGTTCAATTCTTCCATTGCTCCAATCCGCTTTCGAATTGGTTTTCGTGAATATTTGATCGGTTATTTGTCCTACAAACATTTCTTATCTTCCTCTCGATATTCCGTTGGAACAATTATCTATTTATCAATCGCCAGTTGTTTATTAACCATTGCTTTGTTAACAGTTATTATTTGCTTATATATTAAATATAAGAAATCCCAAGAAAAAACTTTATCTTTATCTCCAATTCAACCTAATGAACAAAAAGCAGACAAACCATTTTGGTCAACTGCAACCTCAGCCAATGCCGGACCTTATTATCAAGTTTACGAACAGATATCTTCGTCATCCTCACATCAAAATACTTTAACGCGTACGCCGTTAATTGTTTGTCCCTATCATCAAAATTATTCGACATTATCGTTGATTCAACAGTTACACAATAAATCAAGTTTCTTGAAAACCATTTCAGTCGAACATGAACGGTTGAAAAAGTTGATCTACACATCAAATCTTCGATCGAATCCTTATAATCGCCGTCAATCAATGGAATATTTCTATGATTTACTCGGCATGACACCATTTTCTGAAGCTTTCATTGATCAATTATTACTGAAAAATGATCCCGATCTGTACAAATACTATATTTATATATTTCGTTATTCTCCAATAAACTTCCAACGATTTCCTCCAAAACGTGACGTTAACTTCTTGAAATTCATCTCCACATATTTCCTTCAATCGAAAAGTAACTTAATCGAGATATTTCATCTATTTGATACACTACTTGACAATTTAATCGACTTTCTCGATTCTGCTCCTTGTGACCAACTTCTGGAACGTTCAAGTAAATCGTTTTCCTACGCAACATTATTATTAAATCCAACAATCGATTATCATCGCTATGAATTATCAATAAATTATGAAAATCAAATCCAGTTCCACCTATCTGTTTTGGATTGTGATACCATTGATCAAGTGAAAAAGAAAATTCTTCATTATTTGAACTCGTCGGAATCGATTGAATTGATTCTTCCATCATCGAATGTTTGTTTATGTTCACAAGAAATGCCTCAAGTGAAACACTATCCAATTAATTCGACAATTCTTTGCCGAAAACGATCAACATGGAATCAATTTTCGGATAAATCAAACTCGTATGGTTATCATTTATGCAAAGAAAATCAATCAATTCAAGACGAACATTTTCTTCTTGTACGATTAAAAGAAAATAAAAATGAATTTAATGAAAGATTTCTACGAAATTTTTACCAAAATCTTCTCGGTGGTATCAAATATCTTTCCATTGATTCATTTGATGATTACATTCAATTGATCAGCGATCTTATTCGACATTTACATTTTCTATTAATATCAAGATCAAATTGTCCAATAATTCAATCATGTTTAAATGTTATCGCCGATGGTTTAGAATATATTTTTGATACTCATGATAAAGTTTTTCCAAGATTGATTCAAGATTTATTCGAAGACGATCGAAAGTATTTTCAAACATTTCAAACAAATTCATTTCAATTATCAGCACCACCTTTGAGAAATTCTCTATTATTGTCATCAATGGATGTTCGATCATTGATACTTGCAGATCAAACAGCAATTGATTGCCTTTTTAAACTTTATCAATTTTATGAACTGAATAGTGAAACGGTAAGTGTTTTGTAAAATAGTACAACGAGTTAAGATACGATTTTTATTTAGATAAATCAACATATTGGAGAAAATCATGTCAGTGTTTTATTACCTGTTCATCATCTCTTAGTACAAATTCGTCAAATAATTAATTCAGATACAATGAAAACGAATACAACGATTATTTGAAGAGTATTTTTTGTCGCCAAATATTTGTGATTTCATTAGAATGAATACTTTTTCTTTGTTCATGTGTCTTTTTTTTGTATGAAAAAATAAATGTTTATACCATATTGATACAGTTGAAATCATCATAGTTATATCATAATACTAGCGCGGGAGTAGCTGCCTAATTCAACTTATAATATAAGTGACGAATTCCTAATACACTCCTACACATACTTAGGAATAGATAGCGATAGATTTAGCTGTGCCTATTCGCCCATGGCAGTTTAGGAATAGATTTTGTTATACGTAGTCTCAGGAATACTCTCAGCCGAGTTATATGTCAGCCTATGTCCATCGGTACACACAGGTATAACTAAATCTATTCCTAAACTTGTAGGTTTATATAGATACTAGCGGGCGTACCCGCTGCAAAATAAGAAATATCTATGTCGAATGCCTGACGTGTTGAAAAGCTGCAGCAAATAGAAAAATCAATAGACTCCAAGATTGTATGCTGGCGGTCCTAATTTTTCCCGCCGTGCATCGCACAAAACGACTACTTCAATTATAGTTCTTTATGCAAAAGAGTTACCGAAGCTGATTTCTGCCTCAGAACTTATTCAAATTTNTGGAAACCACGAGAAAAGACTCGGAATCCTACTAAAGGAACCGGTAACCGTATCCGACTATCGGTTATGGCGGGTTCTTGCTGGTTCTCGATAAAACCTTTTAAATCCGATGAAAGGATCCAATCGCCGGAATACTGCTTCCATGAAATCCCCGGAAGGTTCTGGAACAGGTCGGTTCCGGGCCGGATTGTTCGACCTGGGTAAGATGGCTGACCAAATGAATGCCAATCCCGACAAAGCTAATTTTGTTCTGCAGAATGTTACACTAACTGCCAAAGCACAGTTACCCGGGACGAGTGATCCGACGATTGGATCTTGCCGAATCCTGGCGGAGCAAGCATCGGACTTCGCCGGATCCTATGAGAATTTCGGGGTTCCAAAAGCAACCCTAACATTCTAATACTTTCCGACATCCGCCAAATTCCCATCGGATTCGATGGGGTGCATTCGACCTGGGTAGGTATCATTTCGCCTTGCAACAGAAACATACCAATCATTACATTATCAAGTAAAATTTTCTTCCCACCCACACCCTCATGTTTTGGCCTCCTATTTTCATCTGTATTAACGGCTTGAATTAGAACAGATGAAATATTACGGTCATAAATTTATTATACTTTTCGAATCTTTGTTGTACAAATGTGTATGCAAAAGCATTATTTTAGCAACAATGAGGCAATACTAAAGTAAGACATTGCCTTGTGCTTCTAACGACTTTATTTTAGATTTCCCACGGAAGTTCATATTTGATTTATCATAACCATATTCAATCATTTACAATAAATTCAACTAATTGTGCAACTGATAACATCATTTATAATAACTATTGTGTATATTTTTTCTAACTGTAAGTAAAGTTCTGTTTCATTATTTATTATTGAATTCAACAAATATCCTATCCTACTATCCCAATTGTTCGATGTGAATCAGTTAAACAACTAACAAATGTGACGTTAATTCAAGTTCTTGTGAATATTTTTACCTTTAGAATTTACACAAGTTTAATCAATAATGCAAGTATTCATTAAAAAATTCCGATTGATTTTAAATATAACTCTGACTATTCATTACATTTCTTTTGGAGTAAGCTACAAACTTTGAGAAAGATTCGATAACTTGATTTTTCATTCATTAATGTATAGGACAATTAAAGTAACATTATAAATGAAATTAATATTATCAGTTTTATTAAGAACTGTATGATGCATCGGTATTTTTGTCCTTCTGAAAAGAACTCGTGCCTACAAGAAACTCCTAGTATTCAGCAAAAATGTGTTTTATTGATGTTCGTTTATTCATTATTTTATTTTCTGTTGAAATATAAGATGGATAGCTTTTTGCATGACGTCATTTGTCTATATATAGTGATTACTAGCGTATGTGGAACAGAAAAAGTAATGAAGCATCAAGACCATCGTTCTCTTCATCTTTGTTCTTTGAATCAATTGTTATCATGCTTTATTATGGATTATAAACTATTCAATCCATCATCGAATTCATATGCACAATATTTTCGTATTCGTCAATTTTGCTCTTTCGAAATTACGAAAAGACACGACACATACTCCTAATTGAGAAAAAAGTAAAATAAAAGTGCTATAAGACGATGAAGAAAATCTATCTTCTTTCTGTACAGATTAATCTGAAATTTCCAGAAATATAGTTCGAAATCTGAATGAGCACCACTCACTGTGTAAGTGAAAAATATTGAAGAAAACTATACATATGCAATGGAGATTCTTTATTCTTTCTTAGAATAACATAATCTTTCCTGATACCCACAAAAAAATAATGGAAATGAATATGAAGAAATGTATTTGTCGATCATAATAGAATTCTTGATCATAAAGCCGATTGCATTAGTTTTTGAACGAGTTAGTGAGCTTAAAGAAGACAATCAATATAGAAAATAAACAACAGTTGGAAATAGTCAACTTACATCGACTGAAAGAACAGCTTTTTGTAAAGCATTGCGTACTTGTTGGTTCTTTTGTGGAGCAACAACGGCAACAAATTCAACAAGTAAATTGTTTCGCTCGAATGTACTTAAACTTGTTACTTTAACTTTTTTTAAGCTATTTTGTACATCTTCATTAACTTTGTTCTTTAAACTTCGTTTGAAATGCTGAACGAATCTTTTTACAACAGTTTTTGATAAACGTTCAACTGTAACATCTTCCACAACAAATGAAGAATATATGTAACGTAATGCATATTGTCTACATTGACTATAATATTTATCACTCTTGGGAGAAACATCTGATGAGCTTGTGACAGTCTAAAATTCGAGCGATACTGTTTATTTTTCTTTTCCTGTAAAATACGCATGTATGTTATTCTCAGAAGGTAACTTCAACTTTTCCGTTCAGCACTGTCACACTTTTTCACAATTTCTCACTTCGGTAATAATAAACTTACTCGTCTGACTCCATTGCCAGATCCGCGTTTCTTAGATGAGCCACGGCCGTATAATTTGCTACCACATGATGCACCTTGATTACCCTCATCGGACTCACTGGATGCCTTATCGCCATCATTGTTGTTTCCTGTCGATGTCAATGAAAGAAATGTTCCATTTTAGATAGATTTAACACACAAAACAAAATATCTAATTATTTTTTCCTTCTATCTTCCAACAACTACTCGCTTCTAACTAAGTATTAGAGATACCTATTTTGTTTTGAACCAAAGTTAAGTAACTCAACGCAAAAGTATGCCTAACTCATTAATTCAAAGATTTGTTGCTAATACAAATCATTTAATTTGGAAAAGATAAGTTAAATTGAGTTGCTCACGTCGAATTTACATTGCTAGTAAACAGTTTCCAGCTGTCATCAACATTAGCACTCTCTAATGACAGTAGCAATTTACAAACCAATTGTATGTTAAGAATTCTCTAGAAAAGTCTACATACTATCAAGGCAAACTACGGACGTTCGCGTGCAGTTCATACAAAAAGGAACTTGAAAATCTATGTAATAATTCTTTTATTCACCAGTTCCGTCTCTATCCTGCTGGCATTAAGTATTGAAAAGACGTACATATTGTCGAATACCAAACTCTGCAGGTGATGGTGGATTATCCCTACTAGTCACAAAAAGATTTCTGCTCGACGCATCCATGCATTCAAGTTCTCATGTCATTGCCCATTGTTTATGACCCTACCTATTTACAGCATCTTCAGCTTTTAAGTAGATTCATAACCTTCCACCAATTGCCTGTGTCTATTCTGGCGACCCGTCCTTCTCACTTTTTACACAAAACAACTTTCCCATTTTCTTTTCTCTTGCATGTATTATTCTTATTCTCCTATCAGCGTCCAAACTCACCTTCGTCTGACTCTTCGCTACTTTCTTGCGGTAACGCACATTCTTCACCGTTCTTCGATTTTTCTCCACCCGTAGTTCCATTTCCTGTGGTAACACCTCCCTTCGAACCTTTGCCTTCACCGCTACCTTGTCCATTACCTGATTGTCCGGACGAACCATTGGCGCCTTTGCCATCGCTTGGTTTTTGTGTTGAGCCGCTGCCCTGTCCACTACCTGATTGTCCGGACGAACCATTAGCGCCTTTGCCATCACTTGGTTTTTGTGTTGAGCCGCTGCCCTGTCCATTGCCTGATTGTCCAGAAGAACCGCTACCTTGTCCATTACCTGATTGTCCAGATGAACCATTGGCGCCTTTGCCACCACTTGGTTTTTGTGTTGAGCCACTGCCCTGTCCACTACCTGATTGTCCAGATGAACCGCTACCTGATTGTCCAGAAGAACCACGACCTGATTGCCCAGATGAACCGCGACCG